TTAACTTAAGAGTTAAGAGGAAAGTGCCGTATATTGCTCTTTGTCATGCAGGAAATAAGGTTTCAAATATGTGTCTACAACTTCAATGATGCTGAAATATGCAAAACTCTGGACCGCAGGTATATGCGGTGGGGAACGAACGCGCTGTTGTCCTTACCGAGGAGTGGCGCACTTTACCACCGCACCATCCGGGTCCTTCGTTTTGCCTGTATCTCAGCTAGTTCTATCGATCTTTTGCCATCAGCAATCACCCGTCAGCGGGTTTGATAACTTTAAAACTAGTACGATACGTTTAACAAAATCATTGTACAGTAAATCCCTCTTAACCTCGACATTGATCAATTCTTCTTTCTGTTCCTTTTTTTCTTCTTTTTTCTTACTTCTGTTTTCTTAAACAGCAAAAGCGAGGTTGTTACCACAGCACTTATTCAGTCACAATTGCTCACGCTTCAGTGGTTTCACCTTCTTTGAAAGAAGGCATTTTAAAAAGTATTTATTATGCTAATAAAAGTCCATGCATTAAGTTTTGTCTTCTGTGGTTACGAAATTGTTCGTCTGAATGAATTGCGTGTCAATTTGACTCTCTTTGAAGAAGGCGAAGCAGCCGAAACGTCAGCTATTATGAATGACTAAGTACTGTAACTACAGCTTCGTGCTTACCCATTAAGAAGACAGAAAATCATCACACACACCTCATAGACTAGAATAGACTGGAACGGATGAATGGGGCTGAGTTTTTAGCACAAAGGCCATTAGTCAAGGCACCAAACTCTAGAAGCCTTTATAGCGATGCTGGGCATGGGAGTCGATCATCTGGAGAAAACTGTAATGTGACGGAAATGAAGATTGTAAACGGAGTGGCCACGTTGACCTCACAGAATCGATGTTATCTTAGATGAAACATTGCTTCAAGGCGGAATACCAATGAAAAAGGGCCAGCGACCGCTTTTTGTGAAAAGCTGAGAACATCTTTTCATGGCCTGCCTGTAGGAAAAACTTTAAGCACCGTAACTAGGCTATCTCAACAGCCCAGGAACAACCACGCTTGGCCAGCATTTAAAATATACAGGACTCATTTCAACCAGAATCTAACTGCAATCACCACTTATCGTGGAATTTGCTCCCGACGGTGCATCTGGTTAGAAAAATAACAGCTCTTTTGACCGTTATGGAGCTTTCGTATAAGCCTCATAACAAATATTTGTCCGAACTGTAGACACATATTTTAACGTATTATTTACTGCCTATTCTTTTTAACGGCAGGGTATACATTGTGAAATATAAGTGAGTGAAGAACTTTACAAATTCAATATGGAACATTTCGTACTTCATCCTTGTCGTAATTTGTTGGGTCAGCATGGAGGGCATTGCTCCAGATTTTTTCAACTGTAGAATTTTCATTCTATTTATCAGCTTTTCGTTGGAATTTCAATTTTTTCATCAAGGACTAATCGATGTTCATGGACACGCCGATGTGAAGTGTAAATCAGCTCCATAACCTTTATACATTCCGAAGAACAGTTCTGGGCATTGTTCGCAAACACACGTAGGCACACGTTCATGGCGTATCTGTGTCCAAATCTTTGTTCAAACGGTGGCAAATACTTTTCTCGTTCTTCATGGAACGGATACCCACTATTGGAGTAGGGTTAGCTAACGCTCAAGAATGATATCCAGAGAAGAATGGAACAAAAATCTTATAGCTGAGCACTAACTCAAAAAGAAAAACTCTTATTTTATGATTAAGTATCCTCCTAAGGCCAATTAAAATCGCTTCGAAAAACGACTGGATTCTTTTAAGAAGTTAGCTCAAAGTAGATCCATGTTTTTTTACGATGAGAACAAATTCCACTGGAACAACGTCGTCACTGTCTGTCTCCTCTTGCTGAGTCCTCATTACCTTCAGACATCTTTCATTCTCGTCAACAAAGTATTGATTTACGTTTACACGCTAATAAAAATCTTTCTTTGTATTGAACCCAACTCAGCGTCTTATAAATGTCATTCGTTTCATGTCAACCCAACAATTATGGCGCGAGTGAGAAAGCGGACAGGTAAATGAGGTCAGTATCTTTAAATGTGGTCGTGGGCTCTATCAAATTTTTTATTACCACCAAAAAGAATTTTCGCTTTGTATGTTTTTAACATTTTGATCTCACTTGTCGATTTGTAAGTTTATTTTTTGGCTTTGAAGAGAAGTCTTAGCACAATAAGTTCTTGAGCCTGACGGTGTGCTCCTCACATATCAATTCCTTTCATCTTCAACACCTCCTTACTTGCTATACCTTTCTCCTTCGTATTTTATTCTGCTTAGTTTCAGTTATCCACATTCAACTGATTTGATATTGTCGGAGAGGACATTTGAATTTACCGTGCGAATGTTGTGAGCCGTAGCATGTGAGCAATCTATTCATTTCCATCAGTGATGGAATGTATCATAAATTTTTCTGCCTACACGACCCTCCTTCACATCTACCCGGGTGCCAGCACTTCTTGCACTCGATTCATTTCCTTACAAACCATCATTCACGAAGGTCTTCAAACCTCTCGTGCATGGACTCGACTGGTGCTCGAAAATCTCGCAGAATACTGATCAATTTGATTTTTCCTAGGAACCCGGCATAGCTGGGCTAGAGCACTCGCACTTGGATTGCGCGTAGTGAAGTTTTCCCATACATGTCGGGCACCAATTTCCCGACCTCGGAGAGATAGGAAGTTTTGTGAGTCTGGCGCGGTGTCGAACCAGCATTGTGCTTGTGATGAAAAGCATTTCCATCGTTACACTATCCGTTCAATGTATTATAAAATTCTAATTTTTAATGCAAAGTGCGTGTTTTTTCTTTGTGATCCTGTTTTGGCACTGTCTCTGATTCCATATAGCTCCTTGGTCTGCTTAATGACCACTTTTCTTTGTTCCCACTCTTAGTTCGCTTTGATTGAAAATCCATAGCGAATAGAGTAATAAAGAACTCAATTTCCATATGCTCAAAATGTCTTTTATAAGCGTATTCCATATGACACAACAGGTTTCGGAAACTGAAGAAGTTCAAAAGCTTTGAACCCATTCACATACCCCATAAGGTTTGAATGCATGCATAAAATAGTGGTCCTCGAAAACAAATAGTTGTGGTGCACGATGCGAGGACCATCATAATGGAAAGTGAACGAATGGAATGGCAATTATCCGGTCCTCCCAGTCAGGGCCATCGTACCACACCCTCTCCACCATGTGGGCGGCGATTTCCGGTTATGGTGAGGGCGCGACTCCGACATCTACCCACTCTCGGCAGATTTTTCAACATTTCTCTTGTTAACAACTTCTGTAGCGTTTTTCATTGCTGGTTACCTAGACGCTTAGAACGCATACGCCCACGTAACATAGTTTCATTCTGTTTCGTCCAGAAAGGTTAATGGCGTAGCAAAGATAAAACCAACCTATGCTTGCCTGAGTTATGTTCTTTCATTGGCAGCCATTTCAGGTACTAAGTATCCTAAGATTGGCTATAATCTAACATTTGTCGTATTTTTTTTCGAAGAATAACAACTTTTACCGTCTTCTTTTTCATCAAGAGTTGGAACGATTTCTATCGTCAGAAAAACCTAACAATTACGGGATTGTTCAAAAAATCGCTAAATCTTGATGTCATACAAGCGTTAGTATTCCATATTTCAAGACTCTACTTGCACAACTAATTGAAAGTGCTTCCAGAACTATTTTCATAAATGTCTTACTATATTTTTAACCTTACAGGAGGTTGGTACATAAAACTATTATTGTGGCTAATGTTTCTGACAAGGGATGCTTGTACCACAGTGGTTAGAGGTGCCCCGCAATACATATGGGTTCGATGCCGAGCTCCAGGCTCACCAAGCCCTCCATCCCTCCGGGATCGATCAGAAAACTGGTGCGAGACCTGTCTGAAAGAATAGCAGCACTGACTCGATACATCGGTAGACCACCGCAAGCCCTTGTATACGCCAGGTCTGCATTCAGTGCCCTCTGACGATGTAACACCGAAGAGCTCTATTCTTTATCGTTTAACCTTTAGCTTCTCAGTCTCCATTCACCGTTTAAGAAGTACACTAACGGATGAAGTTGCTTCATTTACACAGTGCTTGGCACTGCTAGGTGCGATCATACATCGTAGGAATGGACGGCTATGAACAATCTACTCGAATCACTGCTGCTCTTGAGAAGGCAATGGCGCCGAAACGTTTGTTACAATAAACGTTCATGTAACAGAGTCGTGTAGGCTTAGTAATCCAATGAAATATAGCCCACTCATGCCGAGGTTAAATGGAAGTTGTTTTTTAAAGATGTGTGTCTTTAATCACTTGGCTATATGACTACTATGTTACTTGGTTTACTCCCTTGACTAGAAAGTATGGAACCACACTAAAACCTCCACAGTTTCAGGAATTTGAGGGTTTGCACAGTCCAGTATATAGCCATGTATAGGTTGACACATTAGGAAAGGAAGGCTTGTGCCTGAATCAGATTTCCTAGGAATGCTATAGCCATGGCAAAAACCATCGTACGGCTGCGATATGTGGGGATGTGATCGCTTTTTACCATGATTTAGAAATAGCTGAACCGCCAATGCCTGATGCATCTTGCAGCGTTTTTCTTTCAACTACACTCATTTCATACCATCTGTGATGATTGTCGTTGCTGATCATCCAGGGAGAAAATTGCTAAAAGAGAGTTCTGCGCTCGCGAAAGGTCCCAATTTCAATGAAGGTTTCGGTAATGTAAACTTGAAAAAAATCTGTGAAACGTCCGACTATGGAGACATACAAGTGTTGAACGTTTTTCTTCACTTGTTTTCTTAATTCAAAGGCTTTGAAGTATTTGTATATTGTTAGAAATTCACTCTTTCATGTCGCTTTCCCTTGTTTGGTATACTTCTAATTCTTGGAACAAACCAGCCTAGGCTACAGGAACCAACTGCCTTCAACGCAGACCGCCTTCGTCGAGCTGTCAGGAAATGGATTTTTCCATGTTGCCATTCGTGATCATCTCTTTGACGGCTGCCTGTGCACCTCCTGGTTTTGTTCAAAGCAATGATCCAGGTATTCTTAAGAGTTTAGGAACTCTGGTGGTCGCCTCGGAGCGTACTGCGCTCTCAGTTACATTAATACCGATGGAGTTTTTTAATTCTCTAACAGAAAAAGCTAGAATTGAGGTTTAAGTTCGCGAACTTAGTAACGAGTCCTCATCTCCTTTCTCTGCATGACTATGCTAAGTTTTAATTCGGGGCTTACATTGAAGGAAGCATTCGTGTGGTTTTGAAACTTGCGTAGTAAACAAATGATTAAACCGACAATTAATTTCAAACGGGTAGAATTGTTTGGATATTTCAACTTATTTTGTTTCCACCACTCAAAGTATAAGCTTCATATTCGAATGAGTGCGTGAACAGTTTCAAGTGTGTTTATTTATAATACAGTACACAGGAATAGAGAACAAACTAAAACCAGCCTAAGGCTCAGGACACAAAAATACGACCCTTTGTAATTGAATGAGTAGAGGAGATAAGTGTTCCATGCATTACTCATAGAATGCTGGATTGTGTTCTTCCTTAGAGCGCCTATTCGAAGTCCTCTTTTTCAGCTCTCCTATTTTTCAGGAATGGTCGGCACCCGATGTTCGGATCTCATTCTCTACCCGGTTTCAGCAGTGGATCAGAGCGACCAATACAGGTGACTACTATTTCTCTTACGCGACCTATCGTTGCATATTAAACCCTTTCCAACTTTTCCTTCTTTCGATTTGTTGTCCTTCTTTCGTTATGCAGTGCTCGGATTTGTGTGTAGGTTTCGATACCATTTGAGAATCTCGTTTTTTCCATGAAATCTTTACGATGTGCCAATCGACCTCATTCTTCTTGAAATTTTAGTATAACTATGATGACTCGTCCCAGATCCTCATGGGTTGTCGGCAAACGTTGTAGAACGAATGTAGCTTTTCCCAGGCAGTTCTGAGAACAATTTGCCGATCCCATATGGACGCCAATTTAATCGGCTAGTTGAAGAGTCGAACCAGCGACAATGCGTGTACCATACAGTTCCTCTAACCACTGCGCTTCCAGCACCCCATCTCATGATTGCGTTCCATAAATCAGTCTATCAGAGCGAAGCTTAATAAGAAGAACAGTTGTGACCAAAGTTAAGCGGTAATCATCAAAGCGGTTTCAATTTTTGACAAAGTTTTGGTCAATTCGTGAGAGTGTGTGTACGATGTGGAAAATCCTATTATTCTACCAGAAAGTTCTTTCAGTAAAAAATTAACAGTTGGTGATTGGAACGTTCTAGAACCTTTTCAATCTTATTTAATCTGTATATTAATGGACGCTATCATGTGGTACAATGATCTCAATTATTAGTGTTAAAACTTGGCTGCATGTTAGCTTTAGCACGATACGGCTACTGTTTGGTCCTGATCTGATCGACTCAGCTCGGCCTAGAATTCCGGCTGAACTCCATTACTCGGTTACTTGCGAGAATGTCTACCCAAAAAAAATGCTGTCTTCACAACTACTATCGTTCGCACCTTCATCATTTCCTGATGATTCAAGCGTCCTTAAACGGGAGATACCTCGCGTGAAGGTGAACCATTGAATCAAGAAAACATCTTACCCTCGTCGATGACACATTGCCCATATTCCTCTAATCCACCTCGGCGGCTGCGTCGTGCCATGGCGACGACCGTACTTGTAGCTGCTCCTGGATAATTTGACAAGTGTTTGGCCTCGATTTTCCAAAAGAAAACTGGTTAATGCAGAGAAAAATCACGGCGTCCGGACGGCTCTAAAAAGTGATCTACCTTATATACGCACTTCATTGACTGCGAAATTGAGTCATGTACGCGAATCACATACATATATGCCAACGGATAACCTCTGGAACACTACAAGAAAAGTGGTTACGTGGGATGAAGTTTTTGTTGCATTTCTGTTTGGACTTCAAAGCAGTGGTTTAGTGGTATGAGCACTTTCAATACGACCATGACCATACCTATTCACCTATTCAGCTCATCATCGAAAACTCACTTATGCTGTGTAACGATGAAATCGGGTACCCAATTACGTTTGTTTCCTCTACGACGATGCTCTTTGGAATGTTATGTAACTAGCTGAAAGCATACTGTGTATATCTGCGCTTGTTTAGAACGTAGTCTTAGATTTCCAAATAGGCTTAGAGTGTTAGACTTAGACAGCGATATTCGCAGTATTACAGAACTTTCAGCCAATCGTGTGGCCATGCGTGTTGTAGGGTGCGCGTAGCGCAATAGTCGGAGGCGTCCTGCAGTACGCGTAGGACCGATTCCTGCGCGTAGGCTCGCCAACCCCTCCATCCCTCCTGGGTCGACAAATTGCTACTAAACTTGTCTAGGAGGGTAGCAACACAGGCTCGATACATCGGTAGGCCACCGAGATTCATCGTAAAGACCAGTTATCCACTCAATCACCTCCAACGATTCTTAATGAAGTCGAAAACATGGCGCATCCCTCAGGGATTGATCAACGCAGGGAGCTTTGTGCTTTTTTTAATCAACCAATCGATTATGATACAAATATTTTTACGTAGGTGAGCAGTCTAGTAACGTCACTTTACATTTCTAAAACGAACGTGTTGCAGATTCGATTATAGTGATGTAAGCTTTGGCAACACACATGCCCAAGGTGCTACAGTGGCGATAACGTGTACAACTGGTGGACAACCTGCTACTGTCGAAGGTTACGACCAGGTACTCTGCTCATTATTTCAAGACTTTTCTCCCGTAAAAGCACCATCCGTTCACAAGCACTTCTAAAAGTCTTCATTAGTTTTTCTTTTCTTAATCTCTTTCCTTTTCTTCCCATCTCTTTTTTCGTGGACAGAATCCTTGGAATGTTGAACGGCAGTTAATCGTCAAGGACGACTTCTTATGCAATGACATGGCTCTTGAAGAAGTTTACAGGCAAAAAACTATACCAAATATATAATTAATAGTACCAACAAATACTTTGTACTTTTTAGAGATCGAGTGGAAAACTCGTATCATCGATTTTCTAAATATTAGGCTCGTTAGTCTTCTGGAGACAAACTTATAACTTATGGAATGTCTAACCTAATTATGTTGACTTCAGCAATAGAAATTGAGCTATCCATATAAAAAATGATGAAGAAACATGAATCCACACTGTTTTCACAAATGTAATCCTAGAATTACTGGCCAACACAAAGCAGTGACAACTTCCAAAGTGTATGTCCGGTCTTAGGAAGACTGTTGCATGTGCTAGAATCTCAGACAATGTAAGACTAGCCTAATATTCGACTTGTTATTTTGTCCTCGATAGTTCGATTAACTAATCGTCGAAGTCACTTATCTCACAAGGAATGCTTCTATCCTGAACGATTATAAATAGCATATCATCAGACCTTCCTCCGCATCACAATGGTCGACGGCTTCCCAAAGTAAACACCAACCCAATCACCTTTATAAATGCTGATTGAAATAGAATAAAATGGATAGAAGAAGTATTCCGTCTAGTCCGCCATGTGAAGGCATGTTATCTGAATATCTTAAGTGAGAAAGTTTGAAAGACATTGAGTGGTAAAGAAGGTAAGCATAATTCTGGAGGTCTCTTCTTCAATAAATCACGCGTAATTTGTTTACTCTCAGCGAAAAATATCTTAGATATATACACGAGCCTAAAACAACTGGGAATAGCTCCGTAGTTAATGTGCCACGATATCTTGTGAGTAATCTAGGCCTTACTAAAGTAAAGTAAAGTGCTCTAGTAAAGTGCTTACAGCGTTCCGGTGTGGAGCATTCTGCTGACCATTCGCGATTGAAAACGATTCATTTCCTTGGTCTCATAATTGTTCTATGACAATATAGTAATTTTTCTTTAAATCGTGTGTGGTGGAGAATTAAACCTTTCAAAAGATAGCACATAAACCTTTTGGTGAGTGGTCAAAAAGCACATCCGTAAGAGGCATCCTTAATAGCATAGCAACCGAAAATCCGAGGAGTAATCGTCGGCGAATATGGGTGTTCATCCATTTGACAAACGACTTGTTGAGGTCAGGTGTAACACCCTACATACTAGGTGTATACATCATACCTGGACATGTGAACTCCAGTACGCGCTCTCTTCGTTTCGCTCCGTGGTGATCGTCGTTTGTGGTGATGATTATCTGCTCCCAGTTTGTCGACGTGCACGTGAATCATTCCGTGTCTCCGTTCATCTCGTAGGTAGTGGGGCCCTTGAGTATGCATACATTCTCTTGAGGTAGATTTTACTGTTTACCTCATCCATCTGCAGTCGACTTTTTATCACGTTCTTCAGAAATAATTGAGCGTTTCTAACGTCATTTATTTTTGAAGAACCTGATAAAAAAGTCACTCAAAATGTCATAACTTGCTTCAAACAAAACTTTATAACTCGGGATAAAATCTATCTAATTATGAACATTTTTGCCAGTAGAAAACAAGCTTATTCATTCCAGTAGCATAAAATCCTCGAGTTATGAAAGCGATGAATTCATTGAAGGCATTTTTTGCGTCACCGTGGTTGGTGAAGCATTTCTCGCTCAGGAAAATTATCAAGGTGCTTGAAGAAGTGATAGTTGGTACGCAAGAGTTCTGATGAATATGACGGATGAGGGAAAGTTTCGTAGCCCAAGTCGTTCAGTTTCTGCAGCGCTGGTTCCGCAACGTGAGGCCGGACGTTGTCGTGGAGAAGGACTGGTTCTTTTCTGTCGACCAATGTCGTTGCTGTTGAAGTTTACGGTGCATTTTGTCGATTTGCTGGCAATACTTCCCTGCCATAATCGTTTCCCCTGGATTCAAAAAAGTGTGATGAATAAGCTCGGCTGCAGACCACCAAACATTCATTATGAGGTTATGCTGATTCTGTACGACAACCTTTTTGTGGTGCAACTTCGGCTTTGACAAGTGCTGTGGAGCCTGATCGCAATCAAACCGTTGAGCCGAATGTCGCCTGTTGCCACACAAAATCCATTTCTCATCGCTCGTCACAATTCGATCAAGAAAGGGGTCGTTCATGTTTCGGAGAGTAAGAGCAGACGACACTTCTAAACGGCGATTTTTTTGATTATCGTTCAATTTGTGCGGCACCCACTTGTCGAGTTTTTTTGTATTTCCTATGCAATTCAATTGAGTGGAAGTTGTTCCTGTCCTTATGCTAAGCTGTTCTACAGGATTTCGAACAGTAGTTGTTCGCGTGTTTGCTTCCACTAGTGCCTTCAATTCGTCGTCGTCAAGTTCACTGAGACGTCCTTGGCATTCCTTATCTTCGAGGTCAAAATCATCACATCAGAATTTCCGGAGCCGCGTTCGCACTGTTGATTCACCAACACTACCTTCACCCCAAACTTCATTAATGCTTCAAGCCGTCTCTGCTACACTACGACCGAGTTTGAACCCATGAAAGAAAATTCGACGAAAATTTATTTTTGTGGTATAAAGTTGAAAGGCCCAAAATTGGTGAAAAATTTTGACTTTTGAAGGAAATTGGGGTAAATTTAGAAAGAGCATAAAATCAGCTTTTTAATGATATATAATATTGCGAGGTAAAAAAAAATTTTACTGACAAAAAACACATTAGAACAATAAGTATTTTAAAACGCTCATTTATTTCTGAACAAATTAATAATTCAAGGTGGTACTCCCGTCGCCGGAGAAGCAATGGGTTTCTTCCAACACAGAAATAGTTAGTAGGAGTTGGTATGAAGCTGAAATTCTACACGTTAACAACTAATGTGAATTGGAAGAGCATAACATAGGCATTTGTCAAACCGAAATGTAAAGGATTAAGATGCTTACATTTTACTCAATCATTGTCTTGAAATCATAGGAACCGCTGTTACCACAGAAATCGCTGGCGTCGGAGAAGAACCCTATTCGCAGAACGAAAAGCTTCCTTCCGATTCACAAGAGTCAGCAACTGCTGGTTGAGGAATGTTATTAGCGTATTGTTACGGTCTTCATGGTGTTCTTAGGAAAGCTACGTTCAACCAACATTCAGTATGCCAATGAGAAGAGGTGAAGACAATTTTAAAACTGCTGTTTAATCTTTCAACCCGATTGTGGATGGCGATGGTAAGACAAGGAAGCGAATCGAAAAAGTGCACAGAATAGCAAAATATGTAAAGATGGACTACCTTACTACCTAACTGGGCATGGATAGCACTTAGCGTGATTACAGTGTTTTCAAAGAAATGCAGAACCGCATTGGTTCTCAGGTCGGTATCCCCAGGTTTTGGCATATCCTCTCTTATTTTGGAAAGAGGAACTCCGTTTTTTTTTTTTTTTCGAAAAAACATCAATCAGTACATCATTGCGTAGGGATCCTTTACCTAGTAGGCTTTACTTACATAATAACGAGGAATAAATTAGAATAAATCAAACCGGCAAAGAAAAGTGGCGTTCGGTGGTTGTCACAACTCGTGAGGACAATTCACCCTAAGTTCTTAGGTAATAATTTACTAATTATTTTCTTTGTTTTTTTCTCATTGCAGACTAGCATACCATTTCTATAGCGTCAATTTGTCGGAGTAGTGAGTAAGTAGGTAATACTTCAAATAGTGAAAAGAACCTATTTGCTAGTAGTGCAACTACTGTGCTGCTCGTGCTCGGACGAAACCACTCCACTCCCTCTAGTCCATATGGGAATGTCGTAGTACAGCTATATCAGGATTCCAGGAAGAATCGGTTCGACCATCATTCAACGAAAATCGTGGTGAAGACGAAAAAACCCTCAAGCAGCAACTGAGCTTACAGACAAAAAGATTCCGGGACCTTCGCCGTTGTTGTATGCCAGAAGACGAAGCCGGTCATTTAATGGTTGTAGTAATAACTTCCTTGACTCAACGATCATGAGAATCTAGGTTTTTATATGCACACACAACCAGCACATGGAACACATAACACTGTTCCCAGTAGGAAGGCGTTTTGTGAAGCGAAAAGCTGCATTCTTAACGGCAACAACTCTTGGATTTCCTTGATTCTCGGTCTGTGTTTTGTACGACAACAATGAGCTCTTTCAGAATTTGGAAAACCAGGTGACAAATCGTCACAACCCTGTGCCCTCGCACTTAAATTTTCCTTGGAGGGGCTATGAAAGATTAAAAGGATGCCATAGGTTGTTAAATAAATTATAGGGTTGAGCATTTTATTACAATGCAACCAAAATATATGTTCGTTATATAACGTTATGTGTTCCTAACGGTTTGTCTATTGAACGATCGTTCGGCGATATCATTCAAAACATTAGCCAAAGCAACAGCGTCGTTTGGTAGGCGTTCCTTTGTTCGTCGAACTCTCAGCATGGTGACGATTTCTTTAGTAGAACTGCTTTTCCCGGAGCGAAATGAAAATCTGTTTCAATTCGGTTATGAACTCGAGGTTACAGTATCTGGACGATTACCCACTACGGTATTTGAACGGTTTTGAACTAAACTAGAATGACTTCAATGATGCTGAGATAATTGCAAAACTCCGGACCGCAGGTGTATGAGGTGGGGAACGAACGCGCGCTATTGTCCTTACCGAGGAGTGGCGCACTTTACCACCACACCATCCGGATCCTTCGTTTTGCCTGTCTCTCAGCTAGTTCTATCGATCTTTTGCCATCAGCAATCACCCGTCGGCGGGATTGATCTGGGGGCCCAAGTCGGAGTTTTGCAAATATCTCAGCATCATTGAAGTTATATTTCACAATGTATACCCTGCCGTTAAAAAGAGTAGGCAGTAAATAGTATGTTAAAATTGTGATTAAACTAGAATGGTTGCAGTAATTGATA